TTTTTCTATAAGTTTATACATGCAACAGTGATCACAGAGCCCGATTTGATTGTGTATTAATGTGTTAATATTTACCTTTGAGTGCAGGTTATACATTGTTAAATGCAATATAAAAAAGTATCCTTTGGTCTTTTGTCAGGCTTTTGGAGCACAAAATAAGGCCGTATTTGTTAGTGTAGTGAAGCTGGGACTGTCTTCCGATTTGGTAATTAAAAAAGCTGTCTTGATATCATTGGTATGTAATGATGATATGAAATGTAAAGAGCTCTAATGTTGTATAAAATATGACTTGGTGTGTGAATTTGTATATCCCAACTAGACAGTAAAAGGATCATGTGGTGTTACCTTGTTTGTCCATCCATCCATCACAATTTGCTTAGATTGAACATCTTTGTTACTTTTCCAGTATTATGATGAGTCATCCATTTTCAGTAAGCACATTATTTTACACATAAAATTAAACACATTATTAAAACACATTATTTTACACATATTATTATTATTAAAACACATTATTTTACACATACACACATCCCAGACAAAAGGAATATAATAAAATAGCAATAATGTTTATAAAAGGATAGACCTTGTCAATGTTTTGATCAAAATCTTGTTGAGTGAATACAGTTTTGATCACGGGATTTGATCATATAATAAATTTATCATTTTACATCAAGTCATGCTTATTTATTAGATCACGATTAATGATCTGTAAGTAATTGAATGATCGTGGTTGACCATAAAACTCTTCATGTATATTTCCTTTGAAAGAACTGGGTCAAGGTTGATTTATGTTTCTTCCATCGGTAATTTACTGAGTTTATATCCCCCCTCAAATTGGCCTCAGGATTTGGCAATTAAAATGGCTCTCTAGATGGTGCTGGTGTGTATCAGAATATGAAACATAATGTAAAATAGATGCCTTGTTGGATGAAAATCCTCTATGCATGGATTATTATTCCCTGCCACAATACTAATAGGGGAATGTAGTACCACCCTTGTCCATCCATCCATCTTACCTTGGTTAAGTTGTAATTCCTCAGCTCAACAGTAATAGCAGTATGTGATGTTTTTCCTTTTCATGGTTTGGAATTTATTCCCCCCACCACCAACATTAATAGGGGCATGTAATGTTATTATATAGGGTATAAGTGGAACTGGCCAGGTTTGGTTAATAATATAAAAAAAAAATTGTAAAAAGAATTGCTTGGAAGCTTATCCTATTTGTAACAGAAAAAAAGAGGCTGTCTGTTATTAATTGAATATGAATCCTTTGAAGAGTTGACTTTAGATAACGCTATTGAAATTAGCTCCACGTTATTTAGTGCAGTTGTTATGTCAGAAATTTTGGGTACAAAAAATAACATGAGCAATCCCTCTAAATTGTATCAAAAATTGAAAGCATGTGTTTTAAAACCATGTTGATCCAAAATAAGCTGTGACTCATTTGTTTATTTCTACACTTAAACTGGAGTTTGGTCTTATATAATGTCTATATTGATAGATTTGATCATGAGCATTCAGAGATTTAAAGTTATTGAATTTTTGGTATTTTAGTGTTTCCATAGGTTTACTATGGGGCTTGAATTAGTACTGTGAGTCCAGCAACATTTTTATCAAGACCATTACCATTGTGTAAATTTTTTTTCTGTCCAGTGACCACTTCAATAGCCTACTGATTAGATTGTCTGCCTCTAATTTGTGAGGTCATCATGGGTTTGATCACTAGCAACGTTATACCCAAAACTTATGAAAATGGTACTAATGGCTGCATCGCTAGGCACTCAGTATTAAGAGGTTAGTGTTAAGACTGGTTGGTCTAGTGTTCAAATAATGGAACTGGGTGGGACAAGATGCTTCATGTCTGCAGCATGATGCCCCAGCATAAGACATCACTATCAAACTGGCATGCTGCAGACATCATAGTAATGACTCCAAAATTGTTAAATGTTTAAAATCCAATCCACACACACACATACACACACACACACACACACACACACACACACACACACACACACACACATTCTTCTGTCAAGCAATCCCATGGCCAATACAGCACATTACACATGCTCAGTGAATTAAACATGCTCAATGTTAGGCTAATTTACGCTCATTTTTGCAAGCCACCTTCAACATTCATGAAATGGCTTTTGTAAAACATAATTATGCTGGAGTTATAGTGGATTTTCTTAAGAGGCATAACACATCAGAGATCATTGTATAACACATCAGAGATCATTGTATGTTTCAACATTATGTTGCATTTCTTGCCAACTGTTTACATAATCCAAAGAATGTCCATTTTCTTTCCTGATCTAGGAAGCCATATACCAGATATGAATAACCTTCATAGCCATATACTGCTTTCTTGCAAAAGTATATATATATATTCCCACTTCAACAGTGGAATTTTCTTCCTTTCACTGTTGGAGAACTGTGTTTTGTAATCATTAATTAAAGATGGGGTTTTCATATATTCAAGTTGTAGCTTGATAATTGTATCTTCTGTTGTGTTATATATTGTGTGCTTCATATTTTTGGTCCTTCATTTTTTTGTCCATAACTGAAAGCAGAGCTTAGGCCTATCTCTCTTTTCTCATAGTTTAAAATAAGATGTTAACTTTGTTTTGAGGTTAATACCTGGGTTTTCCCTTGGAAACATTATTGTGTCTTGGGTCAAGTGAAATAGTATATATAGGTTTTGTAAACAAAGTTCTCAGTCCTCTTTTGAATATCATTCTTAGGAAATCTATGATCTGAGTTTATAGCTGTGTTCCATTATCATTTAAATGGAATTATTTAAATTATTTGTTGGAATTACAAAGTGCTTAGTGATTTTTTAGACTTTTGGATTTTTGTGAATTCATATAAATACATTAAATAGTCATGACAAACAGTCATGACATAATGATAAAATACAAAATAAATCATTTGCCCACTATCCAAATTGTGTCAATTTGTAGTGTGAAAGCAGTATTTGGCACAAAGTATTTGACAATTTGATCAAAGTTTTCATTTCAAAAGGTATATTCTAATGACCATATTTCTATGAAAGTTACTTTTAAATACATTTAGTCATATATTATTAATATTTATTGATCATACACTTTTAGTGTACTCAAAGACAACACCATGCCTTAAGTATGTCATCATTTATATGCTTTGACCAAGAAATGAACAATATATGACAAAACAACATATACAATGTTTGTTTTAAATTGAGTAGATATACAAAGCACAGGGTTAAATGTTTGGTGAGGAATCTATCGTTCATTGATCTTAAACTAAGTCAGTACTGAATAGTTTAAAGTTATTGAAAATAATAATAATAATAATGGTTACAAGGACTTTATATAGCACCTATTCTTTAAAAGCTCTAAGTGCTTTACAACATTTGACAACGCTTAGAAAAGAATATGAAAAACAAACCATATATAATGAAATGATTACAAAAATTAAAAACAAACACCACAAAATTAAAAACAGAAAACATGCTGTATATTTTTAAGGTAATGATACATTAAAAAGAATACATTATTAGGTCATTATGACTGTCCTTGCAGTTGAAATAGATGGGTTGAATGAGATCATTGTGTCTTTGTGTCTAAGTGCAGTGGGCAATTCGTTCCACGTTGCTGGGTCCTGGTATGCAAAAGAACATTGTCCATATGATTTCAACTTTATAAATGGAATATTGAGAATGCGAGTGTCAGAAGAGGATCGTAAGCACCTTGCAGGTGTATGCATATGGTGAGGTCAGATAGGTATGTTGGACTGGAGCCCATCAGTGAAACGTAGCACAGATAACAAATTTTGTGTTTAATTCTGGATCGTATGGATAGCCAGTGTAGGGTACAGAGCAGCTGAGAGGCATGCTCTGATCGTCGTACTCTAAGGATGATCCAAGCAGCAGTGTTTTAAAACTTTTTGAAGTTTCTGAAGTAGATATTGAGATGAACCAGACAGAATTGAGTTACAATAGTCCAGTCTTGAAAGTACTAAGGAACACACAAGTGTTTTTGTGGCATCAACTGACAGATACTTGTGAATGGAGCTGATGCATCTCAGCTCAAGATATGCAGCCTGTCATAAGTGCATGTCATGTTGATGCAAAGAGAGAGTACTGTCATACTGATTGCTTGAATGTAATGTTGGTGTTGCTAATATTTATTGTCTGACGTAAAAGAATGTGAATGAGAAAGTCTTTGTGTTATAATCAGGATGACTTCAGTTTTATCATCATTCATCTGCAGCTTGTTACATGTCATCCATGGCTTCACATCAGAAATGCACCTCTCTATGCCTTGGATGGTAGTTCCAACTTCAGCTTGATGGTTAGATTTGTATACTTGAGTGTCATCAGCATGCAATTGGTGAGACACAAGATGATGATCTATAACAATTGAGAGTGGCTGAGTGTACATAATGAAGAGAACAGGTCCAAGAACAAATCCTTGTGGAACACTAAAGTATAGATCAACTGGGCTGGAGTGTTTTCTATTTGCAGACACAATTTGTGTCCTGTTGACCAAGTAGGACTTGAGCCATAGTAAGGCCATATCGTGAATGCCAAATACATGCTGGAGATGGTGAAGTAATATATCACGATCTATAGTGTCAATTGCTGCAGATAAGTCAAGGAGAGTGAGGACTGTAGTCTATCCGCCATCCAAAGAAGAGAGAAGGTCATTGACTACTTTCAGAAGAGGGTTTTAGTACTGTGGCAAGGGCTTTATGCAGACTGTACATTGCTAAAAAGATTGAATTTAGATGTGATACAAGTTGGGATAGAACAACTTTTTATAAGATCTTTGACATGAATGGGAGATTAGAAACTGGGTGGTAGTTCTTTACATGTTTATGGTTAAGTTTTGGTTACTTCAGCAGAGGTTTTACAGTGGCAGTTTTGTATAATTATTATATATATATATATATATATATATATATATATATATATATATATATATATATATATATATATATATATAAATATAACCGCTCCGGTGGCCTAGTGGTTAGAGCATCCGCCTCGGATGCGGGAGATCATGGGTTCGATTCCAGTCGAGTCATACCAAAGACTTACAAAAATGATACTAACAGCTGCCTCGCTTGACGCTCAGCATTAAGAGGTTAGTGTTAGGACTGGTCGACCTAGTGTCAAGATAATGTGACTGGGTGGGGCATCATGCTACATGTCTGCGGCATGATGCCCCAATGCTAGACATCACTATAAACAGTCACACTGCAGACATCGCAGCGATATGACTGAAAAAAGGTAAAAGTTATGTTAAAAATCACAAACACCAAATGCACACCTATACATACATATATATATAGGTCCAAGAACAAACACCTGTGGAAAACCATAACATGCATCAACTGGGTTGGAGTGTTTTCCATTTGCAGACACAATTTGTATCCTGTTGACCAAGTAAGACTTTAACCATAGTAAGGCCGTATTGTGAATTCCAAACACATGCAGGAGATGATGAAGTAATATATCATGGTTTTTAGTATTAAATGCTGCAAACAAGTCAAGGAGAGTGATGACTGTAGTCTTAATGTTTCTGCCATCCAAAGCAGAGAGAAGGTCATTGAGTACTTTCAGAAGAGCGGTTTCAGTACTGTGGCAAGGGCGATATGCAGACTGTACATTGCTAAAAAGACTGTATGAACTTAGATGTGATACAAGTTGGGATAGAACAACTTTTTCTAAGATTTTTGACATGATTGGGAGATTAGAAACTGGGTGGTAGTTTTTTAGATCATTATGGACAAGTGTTGGTTTCTTCAGCAGAGGTTTTAAAATGGCAGTTTTGTATAATGATGGGAATTCCCCAAATGAGAGAGACATACTAAAACATCAGTTAGTAAAGGCAATATATATATATATATATATATATATATATATATATATATATATATATATATATATATATATATATATATATATATATATAATGACCTAATCATGATGCAAGATACTGAATACAAATAGTACTACATTTTTCCAATTTTCTAGTCTTGTCATAGCCATATTGGATAGAATCCACTTTTCAAGAATTGTTATGCTTCTGCAGTCTAACACAATACAAACAGAATCTCTACAGCAAGCTCACCCCATGGCCTTATGGACATAAATCATTTGGATTAACTGGTCTAGCTCCATGGTCTATGTAGTGAGAACAACAGGCATTTTTGTTTATGAAAATTAATTAAATGATTATTTACAAGACTTCTAATTAGTTTTAGATTTTGAAAATGTTGATGATTTTAGAGACAAGACAGTAGATAAGTTTCTCTAACTAGCAAGAATAAATTGTATATCATTTTAAAAGAAGTAGATATTTTATACTTGAATTCTGATAATCTTTGCCAACCCTCGCCTATAAAATTAATTCATTTAAGATTTATATATTGAGGGAGAGGTTGAAAGTGAGTAAGGCTGATCAGATGTATTATAATAATTTATATGTTTTCAATCAACTTCTGTACAACTCATTTGTGAAATATAAAATGTACTTCAATGTAGGTAACACAGATTCTTTGTACCAGAAACAGTCAAGCCAGTTTTAGAAATATGTTATCAGTGTGTCTCCTGTGAAGCTAGGCTGCTACATACATACATACATACATACATACATACATACATACATACATACATACATACATACATACATACATACATACATACATACATACATACATACATACATACATACATACATACATACATACATACATACATACATACATACATACATACATACATACATACATACATACATACATACATAGCTTTTGAATTTGAATCAGGTGGGAATTTTGAGACAGTGAAAGTAACCATTAAAGAAATATGTAGCTTAGACATTTTTTTGTTTGCTCTACCAGCTAAATCCCCAAAATAGCTGCCACCCACAGATACTACACTACATTTTTTGCAAAATGACACTAAATATTTTTACAAAATATTCAGACCTTTTTGTTCCAGTGATTGTCAAACACATTACAACAGCAGTCACTAAGTCTCATTTGGTAGACAGTATAGACTACAGACCTACAATGCAGTAAAGCCAATATGGTACAAGAATCCCAGAGAGTATCTTGCATTCAGGGGAACAGATAAGGGCTTTAGAGCTGGACAATTAGCTGGGAGTCTAAAAGCAATTAAATTTGACTGGGATGAATTCACCATCTCTCTTGCTGATAACAAGATTGATGACAGATCAAGCAGACATTGGCAGTCAAGAGGCAGAATCAGAGATACAGAATTCAGAGCTGTGGCTTATACCAGAAACAGAGTGACATTAACTAAGGCAATATAAATCCCATTTAACAGCTTGAGCCTATCACTCTACAAACTCCTAGAATTCTCCACCTACTCAACCTGAAAACATAGACTGCTGCTATGCCCTGGAGCCCTAAATCAAACCAAAATCCTTGTAAAACATTCCCAATCAGGGCTCTGGGGCAACCTACTACTGTATCGTCAATTAACTGCCAGATCTTTCTTGCTGCTATATCATGGAGTCATGCCCACTAAGAAAAGAAATTACAAAATTGCCAATACTTCAAATATGCTAAATTGGTGGTGCATGATTCTGGAGCAATCACTTCAGCAACTAGAACAACCCATAATACTACTACTTCTACCAACTAAGAGAATTACAAGATGGATTATCCCCGTTGAGCAGAGATACCCACTCTATGTTTCTTGTTATGTTTGTTCCAATGCCTGTCATATGTGGCCATTACCATCATGGCTTGTATTTGTTTGTCCTGTACTGTGTTACAATTGGTGTCATAAACAGGCACTAGGGAAAAGATACCAGTGATTCTGGTTGGGATCCTAGGTTCAGCAAGCCTGTGCTGAGTAAGGAATTCCTGCTGTGGCTCTGGTTGTTATTGTTTGTTTATACTGTCCTGTCATATGTTACACTTCAAATTGTGGGTCTCTTCGGGTCTTGCTGTGGTGGTGGCTTTCCTTGTGCTCTTGGCCTGCTGCTGGTTTGGGAGGTGTTTGTCTTGCGCTGACTGTATAAATGTCAAGGCCTTAAGGTCTGGTCTAAAGCGCAAAGGCCCAGCCCCGGGCCACATGCCTCCCAGTGGACCCGGGCTGACAGCCATCCATGGAGGGGGTTAAAGGAGACCCACTCTTCGGGTGGGATCTCTGGTCTCTTTAAAGACTTTAAAAGTCATCAGTCAACTGCACATGCATATAAGACTATAATTGCCAATCAACTGATATGGTCCACTTCTCTAGTGTACCATGAAACTCAACAGTAATGATAAAATGTGGCCAGAAGTAAGGGACAAGGAATTGCCAAGAAAACTTGCTGGAAATGAGATCAGTCAATGTAAGTGTCTATATAGATATCATTTTTAACAGATTTTTCAATGAATTATTATGTTTAAAAGATACACAATATTTTAGAAATGGAAATAGTTGTATTGTAGTGAAGTATTAAGACATTACCATAGCCAAATCTATGGAAGCATTCCACAACAAAATAAGTACATGTATATAAAAAAATGTTCAGTGAATGTAGTACACACTTAATCACACATTCTTCTCAGTTTAGTTTCATGTTAAATTTGATACAACTTTGTGCATTTGTGTTAACCTTATGCACACATATTAGATTTGATCATATTGTATTTAAAATGCAAACTCTGCTTGAAGAAGTTTGTTGCTGAGCCATGTTGTTCAGAAAAGTTGCCTTGGAAGACATCACTCACTCTCTAACTGCTCCAGTGGCCTAGCGGTTTGATCATCCACCTCAGATGTGGGTTGTCATGGGTTCAATCCCCAGTCGAGTCATACCAAAGACTTACAAAACTGGTACTAGCAGCTGCCTTGCTTGACACTCAGCATTAAAAGGTTACTCTGACTTCTTTTTAAATTTAATATATGTTCATAACATCTGAAATATGTTGTATCAGCTGTGTTAATATTTAACAAATAAATACAAATAAGTTCATTTAAAACGAAATTGAATGTAAAATTAGATCTACTGAACCAGTGATGTGATATCTTCAATTGTTGTTGTTGTTGTTGTTGTTGTTGTTGTTGTTGTTGTTGTTGTTGTGGAGCTTAATGCCATTTTTCAGCACACGATAGGCTAGATTTGGCAGCCAGTATTAATGGTGGAGGAAGAAACCGGGAAATCACCAGAAAGAACAACCGACCCACGTGAAGCTACTGGCAAGCCTTCTCACATATCCACATTTGCAGAATCCTAGACTCGAACCTATGCAGACAGAGGTGAGATGGCAGTGATCCGTAATGGACAGTGTTTTAGACCACTCAACCACTCTAGGCCCCCATCATCAATTGTAAAATAAACACATGGAGTAAAATATGTTTCAATTCTATATATATAATGTAATACAAATAATACTATATGATGTCTTTTAGTTTAACACAGAAATAGGTGACATTGATATATGGGCACTAATAAAGAGGTATTCTTTTAATACAGATATCAATTTGTTAGCCTAATTTTGAGAGTTTCACCTACAATATTCATCAGGGGAAAGGACCTCTAATTATGAGCTGGCATATGTGGGAGAAAAATGCCATCTCTGTTCTAAAGGGCTAGAGGTACTGTGAAAATACATAATTTCTACCTAAATTTTAACATCATTGTTGCTTATATTTTACCCCAACTGGCCAAAACTATGTGGGTTTATGTAATGGTCCAATGTGTGTTATTTATTTCACATCCCTTTCTGTCTTTCAACAGTCACAAATTTGCTACTCTGGAGTCCATAGTTCTAATCAATTGTTTTTGTAAAACTTGGGTTTTGGGCTTAAATCAACATCTTGTACAAATCTAATAATGAGAATAATCCAAGCATGTACATGAGGCGATCCTGCATCAAATTAGTGTAGTGTAGTAACCAGCTTAATAGCTATACTTCCACAATATAGACTGAAATCATTAAGTTTTCCTAAATGTTTGATGAGTGTTATCCATTAAAAATAATAAGGTGATCTTGCATTTGACTGAGTATAATACCACCCCATATGCAATATTTATAAATGTTGTGCAGTTTTTAATAAACTTAGAATATAGGCTTATATCAATGATATGGTGACTGAAGAGGTGAATATGCACACAAATACTTGAGGTTTTAACTGCATAAAACTGTATTGCTGATTGAATTTTGATTAAACCAGGCCCTTGGGGTTATATAATCAACCAGGCTGTTGAGGTTATATAATCAAGGTTCACAAAGGTGCTTATTTTGACTAAGATATGGTAATGAAATGACTTTGCATTTGATTGACTGAGTTTATTATGACTTGCACAATGGTATTTATGGTCCAGTTTAGATCTGACTTGTTCAGTTATATGCTTAAACCTGAACCTATGCATATAATGTGATGGTCCTTTATCTCACTTGCCATGCTTTCTACTGCTCTTGAAACTATTTTTCATGAATTTGATCCAACTTGATTTACCTCATCAAGATATGGCAAGAGAACACTTTTGTGATTAATAATCATGTATATTAATACTCAAATTCTGCTGACCTAGCAAATGCTATAGGGACTCTATTTTTGACAAAAAGATTATTTTGATTTAATGTAGCAGAAATGCCTATATGATCAAAATATTGAATGTAGTTGATACTGAATAAGAAATAGATTTACATGTTAATTCGATAAACATTTAATAAGTAGGTTCATATCATTAAAAGCATGGAACAGTTATATGCGAGACCTTCACATATTAGTCCTGCTTTATGTTGAGAAATATTTTTGTCTTGATTTAGCAAATTAGGTAAAATAAATATGGACTGGGATTTTTTTGGTACATCAACACAAGTTGGTTTCTCATGATTGAGGAAATTGGAGTAAGGCAAGGGTACACTGCAGTAGGTAACCCAGGTGGATTTGATAACAGGATTTCAACACAACATTTTTATCAGGAGTCTAGCATACTAACTATTGATTCATTGCAGGTCTTGTCCCCATTATTTGCCTTTTAATTCATACAGGAGAAAGCAGTTGGTTTTGCATATCATAAATCCCATAGGGATTTAAAGTGACATAATAAAATAAAACAATAATTAAATAAAATAAAATAATTCTACAGAAAAATATTGCATGCAACTCTGACACAAATGCAATTAGTGTGAAAACACTTAAACAAATGGCTAAAATTACTCATCAGGCATATATGACTTAATTACTGGTCATTTCATTATGCAGTAGTCAGGCATATCAAAATGTACTTAATCACTGGTCATTTCACTATGCAGTAGTCAGGCATATCAAAATGTACTTAATCACTGGTCATTTCACTATGCAGTACTCAGGCATATCTAAATGTACTTAATCACTGGCCATTTCACTATGCAGTAGTCAGGCATGTCAAAATGTACATAATCACTGTTCATTTCACTATGCAGTAGTCAGGCATATCAAAATGTACATAATCACTGGCCATTTCACTATGCAGTAGTCAGGCATATCTAGTCTTGCAAAAACAGAACCTAAACAGTAATCTCCAAAATTTTATCAAATCAGTTAAATACTTAGGTTGGGAAATCATTAAATGGGAATTATGCTAACTTTAAAAGACCAAAATGTACCTGGATATTTTGACTCTACCATACTCGAACTTGTCAAAAGCTTTCATATTTGTGCAGTTGTTTTTGCTTAGGGCAAACATAATTGGGAGAATAAATGCCAAATCCACTCTCTCGCACACATTTAAGATTTTTAGTTTTTAAATAGTCTCCTAATGATATAAGTTTCATTACATTTGTCAATAATTAGTCACATGTGAGGACACTTGTAACTAATCAAAGAACATCCACTGAGAACAGACAAAGCACTGACATTTATATGGTACAATGTCAGTATATAGGTGTGTCTGCTGTACAATGTCAGTATACAGTCTGTCTGCTGTACAATGTGTGCAATGTATATATATATACCACACCCTTGATAACTCGCGCCCGGATAACTCGCGAACTCGCTTATAACGCGGTGTCCGGCATGGCTCCCGAATTTTTTCAAAGAAAATATATTTTAAAAGGTGTTGAACGTGAAAAAAAGTCGTGATAAGAAATAGTAAATTGGTAAATTAAACCTTGATATATAGGTCGTTTTTATAATCTAAAATGGTGATTATTGCCCAGAAAGATAGATTCCATATTGTGAAATTTGCAATTTCGATTAAGATATCACATATTATGTTAGGCTTTTTTTAAATAGAGGAATAGTTGTCAATACACTGTAAATAAACAGCGCTCAAAGAAAAATTCTCGTAAATGCTAACATGAAGCAACAGAGAAGGAAATAAATATCAATTAAATATCCTTCTAGGTGAAATTCACATTATAATCCTTTAATTTCCTCTCCACACTATACTCGTAACCTACATATTCTCTTCTATGAAAACGTGAACAAAATCAGTCGACCGTCACATCGAAACCCGGGAGTACTTCCGTAAGAACATAATTGAATGCCGGCTTTGTTTTGAACAACTGTTTGGGGAAGTGTTTGTTGCAATAAAAGAATCAATTAAAAAAGGCCATTGTTGTTTTATCACTTTGAATAAATCTTTGTATCAAATCAAACCAGGTAAGTACCGTAAAATAAAGTTCAAAGGCTTGCCCATATGAGTAAACGTTCTGGTATTCCTTACCGTTATCAAATTTCATTTTACTTGACCAATCGAAAATATTTTCACATTTTATGTATTAACCTCATTAAAGTATATAATATCAGTAATGTATCCTAATCGTTTGGAAATGTGACTTTGGAGAGCAAAGGAATTAAGCGAAAGGTGTACTTAGTGACTGAAAAGCTGTTCATCATAGACGGTGTTCATAATGACTAAGCGAGATCAAAAATTTGCAATGAACTAAAATTTGCTGAGTCGACATTTAGAGGTTGGCTTAAGGATGAGCCGAAACTTCAAAATTACTCACATGATGTTGATTCAGATGAAGGGATGAAACAAAGACGAGCACGGACTGCAAGCGATAACGAAGTAGATGATGCTGTGTAACCATAGTTCACACAACAACGTGTCACAAACCGCAAGTGTTATCGTGTTCTAATTTTGGTCGTTTTAAATTTTAAGACCCATTAATTTCATGTGGTAATGGGTAACCCTTGTGATTTTTTTTTTCCTTTTATTTTACGTCTACCGTAAACAATATCTACACATCGTTCGATCGACATTGTTTTTTCGATATGTATCGATCTTTCGTATTTAAAAAAAAATGTCTACTTTGGATCAAACAATAAAACTAGAATGTATACCATTCACAGCAAAATTTAGTGACGTAGTACACAACGTGAAGTCGTACATGTGCTAAGCGAATGGAAACCACGTGGAATAATGTTTTGATGATCATTAAACTGCAACTTATCCTGAAATTAATGTTACTCTGTGATGAAAAAATTAAAAAAGTACACCGATATGAAGAGATATTTATTCACTGTTAATCTTAGCAGGTTTATTAACTGAGTATTCAACACTGCAACATGACAAGCCACACACCCCCCTTTTGCCTATACGTCGATTCCTTTGTTAGTTTTGTTGTTTGTTATAGGTCCCTCGATAACTCGCGCCCTCGCTTATATCGCGGTCGATGTTTTTGGACCCGATGTCCTCGAGTTATCGAGGGAGTGGTGTGTGTGTATATATATATATATATATATATATATATATATATATATATATATATATATATATATATATATATATATATATATATATATGCAATAAACTGACAACGAACAGTACAAAACTAGTAACTAACTAGCCTAAGCACTTTCGACTCTTAATGAGT